TCGTTGTTGTTGATTTGATAAGTGAATGTTAGATGATGCTTGTTTGGAAAATTGATTATTGATTTATTTCTCTCGCTACAAATTTTATTATCTGAAAATAATAAACTATACGATGTCATGATGGAAGAAGTTTTAAGTTTATTAAAAAGATTAGGGAGAAAAGGGAGTTTATGATTTATGATACGAAGTTTAAATGGGAATATAAATGATAGTTTATTGAAAAGTGTAAATGAATGTTTGGGAAAAGGTATAAAATAATAGTTGTGAAAAGTTTTTCGTGAAGAAATAACATCAATTTATATACAAAAATTTTATATTACGCACAAGATTCATTTGTTTTCGGGGAATTTTTTAGTATGTATCAAATAAAACCTTTATTTAATAAAATAAATCAATTATTACTCTTTATATTATGCATAAGAAAAATAAGGAAGGATAAGATATATTAGGAAAATATATGTATAATAAGATAAAAACAGAAAATAAACTATGGTGCAGAACCAAACATGTTGTGTCAAAAATGGAATTAGATAAATGAAGGTAACATTTTTGACCAAATCTAGAAATCATAGTCATATGTGCTTATAATAAATTTAATCCTAAAAAGGAATAAAACTTTACACAAATTGTTTTTTCTATTAAAGCTAGAGAGAGACCTGTTCTATCGATTTAATAGTAATAGTTAAATTTTAAAATGTTGAGCTCTTTTTTTAAAAGGTCATGAAAAATCTAGGAGGTTCTGCATCATACTAATAATAGTTATAATGACCAATCAAATTAATAATACCAATTTATACATGATGATTTCGAAAAATTTTTTTTTTCACACAGTGTCATTAAAGTAACTAATACTAATATATTAATCACGCACGCATGGAAATAGATTATAAATAAATTATCTATTTTTTTCACACAAAAATAATTTTTTAAAAATATTAAAAAAATAAAAAAATGAGATTCAAAAATCGTGAACAAGCGGGAAAAATGCTCGCAGATCGTTTAATCAACAAATATAATAATGCCAGCAAAGATTTTATCGTATTGGCTTTACCAAGGTATAGATAGATGATCAGTAATATAATGAATATGATTAGAATAACTAATATTTATCGGTATATTATTGATATAGAGAAGGTGGAATGGGAGTATGTATAGTGGTGAGGGATGAATGTGGACATGGAGAGTATATAATATATAATATTGACATATAATTTCACACATATAATACATATAATTTAGCTTGAGATATTGTGTGTCAGATCCAATTAAAGAAATAAGGATTGTTGGATATAGATTATTGAGATATTTGATAACTGACACAAAATCATTAGAAGATATAATCAATTTAAATTATAAAATATTCATCATGAGGTAAATTTAATTTGATAATCTAATCGATTGATTAATTTATTAATCTTTTTTACAATTTTTT